TTTATATTTCAGAGCGCTACCTCATGGTCAGTTAAAACAAGTGTGTATTGTTATAGGATATTGTTCAAGGGTATGCTTTTCAACAAAATGATATTGGAAAATTGAAAGTGCATTGTGACCTTATAACACCTGACAGTGTCACTTATAAAAACAAAATCGGTATCGGCCAAAATCGGAAACGGCAGGTCAAACTTTTTAGAAATCGGTGATCGGCCAGAAAACTGCAATCGGTACACCCTTAGCATTAGTCACCTGTGACGCTGTCTCACTTGTAGAGGCTTGTTCCTGGTTCCTAAAGCTGCAGTGTGGGATCCTCTGCACTCCTGTGCAAGAAGGAAAGCCTTTTTAAGTTCAAAGTTTTTGTCTATCCGTTGTGCCGTAAGACTAATCATGCTAACGGGGCTAACACCATGTCCAAATGTCTGTGATAAAACTCACCCAAGTGCTATTGACTATTAGCTTCTCAATGACGTCGGAAATGACTGACTGTAACTCGGGTAAGGTTACGTTGGAAAATATCTCCAACAGGGGGCGATGTAGCGAGGCTCACCATAGTTCAAAAATCTTCGGAATTCGACATCCTCACCAATGAAAAAAAAACATTTCCACATCGCCGACATTTTGAATTTTCCTCTCCGCCGTGAGATCAGGAAGGCGCACGACATCATCACATTGTGCTGCCGCTGCAGACATCCTTGTCCCTGGGTTGTCATACAAAAACAGCGCCTTTAATATCGGTGAGTTATTTTGATGGAATGACCAATGTCCAATATTGAACTTTAACACTAATATCGGCCGATACCATGCTGATAATATTGTGCATCCCTACAATTTTTACATTTTGTATGTCTAAAGTCAAGCTTGAATTTGGAGTAGTTAGATGGTAAATGTGAGGATAATGATTACTGTGATTGTATTAAAACTAAGCAAAACAAACCCTGTTTTTTGCATATACCGAGTTATTTGCAGGGTTTTCTTTAAAAACAAACTCTCACTCTAAACTCAAACACCTACGTACAAAGACAAACACAATGGTTATTATCACTAGCAACACTTCCAATATGTTCAATGTTGTTCCCACGCATTTCAACAGCACAACCCAACTGTTTACACCAGCAGAAAAGGACAAATATAAGAAAACAAAATATACCTGTGATGAAGCACATTCTTTTTCTTATCCTGATGCATTTGCAATAATCCAGGTAGATAAAGGTTGATTCAGATCCTCTGAACAGATTCTTCTATGTTTCAACAAATACAAATTCATCCAGAGGACCTGAGTCTTCTGTTTAGTTTACAAAAGAGAAGATTTTCTTTTTTCAGCTAATTGGTCCATAGTGAAGTCCTCACAAAACAAACTGAGTTGGACTTGCCGACTTCACAAACAGATCTCAAGCTGTGGGAGTAAGTGTTATAAGATACCGTATATTGTTCTGTAGATTCACCAAGTAGTCCTCCACGCAAACAACAAAGAGTATATCCAAGTCAGTGGAGGATAATTTACACCTCCAACACAACCATCAGAGATGCATCAGTAAATGTTGGAATATAGAATGAGTAACTGGAAATAAAATGAGGAAAAGCTCTATGTGCCACCACTAAGAGAAGCATTGAGTGATCAGGTGGTTTGTTGGCCTCCTGTAATTACCAACCTCAGCCAAATCCAGCCAGGCATGACCAGCAAATTAACATGCAGCAGCTTTCACACACTACCCCACAAATCTGTGAAGTGAGCAAGGAAACCAATGCCAAAACAGTGAAAATAGCTCACACCATATATACTACAACTTGATTCAACAAGCTCTTAACAAAATACTGGACGCAGTTAAGAAGCCCTAAATACAAAGAGACAAAATATTTAAAGCCTAACAGACAAGGCTGGTAAAGATGGTTTAACTTTGCAAATTTTAAGCAGAAATGGCAGAATATATCCAGGACAGGTTGCTTCTTCTAAGATATTTTGCATGCCTTATTTATACTACCTATTTAAGTTACTTCTGGCATATTTTTTATTCAAACATACAACAGTTAAGCACCAATTGTTTCTAAATGTTATGCTGCCATAGTGTATTAGCATTAACAGCTTTGTATGAGGGCAATAGACTGTTATACTTTTGTTATGGATAAGTGCTTATTTTAAGGATGTGTTGAGTACGTCTTTAATCTAATTTTTTAAATATTAAAAAACTGAAAAATTTAACAGCCTTTATTCTTCAAGTCCCTATCCTATATTTCATTAGGCCTCATATCTGATCACTGCTTCCTGCACACACAGGATCCAACTGGAACCAGAGGAAATCCTTGGCTTAAAGCTTTGCAAAAACTGGCAGATTTGAGGAACATCAACATGCAGACTCAACGAACAGCTGCTGGACACGCACCTTATCTTCGCAGCACATGAGGGAAAGAAAAACACAAGAGAACATGTGGAACTCTGGGCTGACCCCAACCTTGTTGCACTACTAAACATTGACCGTATGCTTTTGAAAGGATTCCATGAAGGTACATTTCCATGCTGTTTTATTCAAGCATCAAGAAATCTAGACCGTCACTGTTGTACCAACATACAATAAATAAAGCAGAGGACGTTTTGCTACATGAAGGCCACAAACAATAATGCATATGTAAACAAACATCTGAAAGGTGCACTGTCCTCCTGCAATTCCTCCTCTTCAAAAAGACGCTTATGTAATTTGAGTAAGGTTATTCTGAAAATGCTGTATAATAATAGCACTGATCATTTTTATTTACTGCAATAGTAAATAGTCAGTATACAGAATATATTGGTTACACACAAATTTGAGGACTTTCACAATGTTAGATTCTGCTTTAATAGAAAAATGCAGTAGTATTGATTTGTTGCTATAGTCATTTTCAACTAAGCTAGTGCCAATTCATGAAGACCAAACTACATGTAAGACTAGACGTTAATCCTTATGCAGGAATTCTCATCAGTGAGCCATTTTGACAGAAAATCAAAAGAGAAAATACAGGGATGCACGGTATTATCGGCATAGTATCGTATTGGCCAATATTAACGTTATATTTCAATATCGGACATCAGCCATTCCAATAAAAATAACTCCCCGATATAAAAGGCGCTGTTTCTGCCTGCAGCGGCAGCACAACGTGATGACGTTGCAGCGGCAACGCAATGCGACGACGTCACGTGCGCCTACCTGAGCTCACGGTGGTGAGGAAAATTCAAAATGTCGGTGATGTGGAAGTTTTATTTTTCGTTGGTGAGGATGTCGGATTCTGAAGATTTATGGTTGAGCCTCGCTACATCGTCCGCGGGTGGAGATATTTTTCCGATGTAACATTACCCCGAGTTACAAGCCGTCATTTTCAATGTCATTGAAAAGCTAATAGTCGATAGCACGACTTGTTGGGTGAGTTTTACCACAGACATTTTGACGTCGTGTTAACCCCATTAGCATGATTAGTCTTACGGCACAATGGATAAACAAAAATGTTGATCTTAAAAAGTCTGTCCTAGGAACCTGGAACAAGCCTCCACAAGTGAGACAGCATTGCAGGTGACCAATGCTAATAAATAACATTTAACTCTTTTCATTTCATATAAGTCAAAGTGCTATGCATATCATATGGCTGTTATTGAATATATGTCACCAGCTCTTACAGCTGTTGCACAATTTTTGTAGCAAATAAGCCTAAATAGGAGGGCTATGTTCTGACAAAGGAACGTATGTAAAATATCGGTATTGGCATTGGTTATCGGCCAAATAATTTTAACAAATCGGCCAAAAATTCAATATCGTGCATCACTAAGAAATTATATTTTGTTCTTGCCCATACAGCTCATCCCCTTCTGTTGTTCTCAGCATATACAATTCACTATTAACAACTTTGTTCCTATCTTTTTTTGCCACAGCACCAATGACTCTAATCTGTCTGCAATGCACTGAGAGTAACACAAAGCTAGGTTCTGCATCCCAGTACTATCAGATTCATGATGGATAGTCCAAGTTTATTTTAGTGTGGTCATGCAATGAAAATGTTTTTGAACATCTAAAATGCCTCAGCAGTTATGCTTTCAAAAAAAAAAACTAATCTGTGGTCAAGCTTGTTTTTATTTGTTCAATGTCTGTGGTTCAACAAGTCACTCCATGAAAATATTAGACATATTTTTCCAGAACCTGAAATGATTTACAGTGTAAATGTAGCATTCAGTCTGACTCTCTCATAGGTCTCAAAATTTCATCCAAAAGAAACAGATACAGGTTATTATAATTTGTGAACAATCTGCAGACTTTAAATAGATTTAAATGTGCAGCACAAAACCAAATGCACTGTGCAAAAATGATTATAGGTCAGATGAAATGTTTATCTTTTAAAAGATCATAGTGCTGTAAGACAAGCTAAGGGAACAGCTAGTTTATGACTGTCATAAAGCTAACACTTCCTTGTCCAATAAAAGACACAAAGATCATTAGGGTATAGCACAATTTTTCCCAGTTATAAAAGGTATAAAATATAGATTTAATTATATTTTCCTTAACCAAGCAACCTTAAATATAAATATTGCTCTTAATCAGTTTGAATAAATATTAATAAATACTGTTTTGTTCGTGCTTCTGACTATTGATTTATATTGATACAATTACGTTATAAAATGGTCACGATGAAGCAGGAGACAACAAAGGCTGTGGTGGTCATGTGAACCCCTGAACGCACCACAACATCTTTTAGCAGGCTAGTTAGCAGTCATGAAGCTAGCTTACGTTAGCCTCTATCCCCCCATCAGTCTGACTCGTCAAAAACAAACATAACTTAAAATTATTTATATACAAACAATACAAGAAGCATGCACCTCCCTGGGCAGTGCATGTTACTTTACAGCTAACCAGAATTAGAAACCGGAGGACAGTCTTCCAGCTAACCCGACGCCTTGTTTGACGTTAGCCGTCTGATGGTTAGCTCCTGAAGCTAAAGCCTCGACGGTGCAGCATCCGCAGCTCCGGTGACATTTCACTCACCTATCAGCGCCCGGAGGTGTTTGAGCCGGGTCAGAACATCCTTCTTTGGGTCCAGAACTTTCTGTGTAGATTTCTTGACGTCTCCATGCCCCCTTCGAGTGAACATCACGCTGTAAAATGCAACCGCGGAAGCCGAAATCACCCGTGTTTCACCACCGAACCCCCCGTGTGTGACTGTCACTTTACACACCACCTCTCTATGCTCGCTCGGTAAACATTGGCCCGACAGTCACTGGTTAACCTTTTTTTTTTTTTTTAAGTGGGTGTGTAAATACGGAAGCAGAGCCTGACAACAAGGGCTGGCTGAATACGCCTGTTTGTTTATAACAGATCCACATTACACTGACAGGGCTGTTTTTTTATATCCCTGATTAAAATAGGCTGCATTACTGTTTTGTAGATTGAGAACAACCTACTAAATTATTCAAATACTGTTATCGAGGTTTAAAACTTTTAAGACTTAACAAAATAACTATCCAACAGCTTCTAAATATCGCACGTTTTTAATAAAAGCGCGTATATTTAGTACGAAAACGTCACGCAAGATTATATTTTCTTTGTCATTTTAATAAATATATGTGGTTTGACTATTGTTATGGCTCTCTAGCGCCCTCTGGTGTATTTGTTTGTTCTTGCTTTTTTTTTTTTTTTTTTTTATGAAATGCCTGGAACAACAGTTGAACATTGTTGTCGTATTGATGTATATCTATTTCAATACATCTATATCTCGATCGTTATA